AAACATTCGTGACACTTCTAAGGAGAAGCCAATAGGAGGAGGAACTGGGGGAAACTTCAAAAGACTGACTGAGACATACAGGAGAAGAGGGCGAAGAGATTGTGCTTCATATGTGATGAGAAGTATACTCCAGGGCACCGATGTAGGGACCGAACTCTTTAGGTTCTCATCGTTTGTGATAACAAGGAAACTAAGGAGGGAGGTGGGAGTGAGGAAGAGAGAGAGGTGGAGGACAAGCTACATCTTGACGTGGGAGAGGTCTCCCTAAACTCAGTGGTAGGATTCACTCAGAATCGTACCATGAAGGTGAAGGGGAAAATAGCAGACAAAGAGGTGGTAGTACTGATTGATAGTGGGGTTACCCATAATTTCATCTCCAACTAGGTTATGGACCAATTAGTTGACATTAGTGGATACAGGGTCTTATGGAGTAATGATGGGTACAAAGAAGGTGGAGACGGGCAAGGGGATGGGGAGTGGTGTTGACCATAAAGGGGGTTCAGGTGAGGGAGGATTTTCTCCCATTGGAGTTAGAGAGCACTAATGTCATCCTAGGAATGAAGTGGTTGTAGACCTTGGGGAACACAATGTCAATTAGAGGATATTGTCGATGGAGCTGGTAGTGGAAGGGAGAAGGATAGTGAACAGGGGAGATGCAGGGCTCTCCAAAGCAATAGTATCACTTAAAACCATGGTGAGAAGCATATAAATGGTGGGGGAAGGTTATTTGGCAGAGCTACATAGGCTAGAGGGGATTAGATTGGAGTAGGGTGGGGGACATTCCTCTTTCAGTGTAGCCATTGATTCAGCAGTTCAGTGAGGTATTTCAGCCATCTCAGGGATTGCCACTACCGAGGAAGTAGGAGCATGCTATCACCTTGAGGGAGGGTGTGTCACCCATCAGTGTCAGGCCCTACGCTATCCTGAATTTCATAAGGATGAAATTGAGAAGTTGATCACTAGGATGCTGGAAGCATGGATTATCAAGCCCATTATAAGTCCTTTTTCCAACCCAGTGTTACTGGTTAAGAAAAAGGTTGGGAGTTGGAGATTTTGCGTGGACTATAGGGCGGTGAACAAGGAAATTGTGCCATACAAGTTTCTCATTCTAGTGATAGATGAGCTATTGTATGAGCTGAGTGGGGCATTTATTTTCATCAAGATGGATCTAAAGTCAGGGTACTATCAGATCAGAATGAAAAGGATGTGTCAATAACTGCTTTCAGGACTCATGAAGGGCATTATGAATTCCTAGTGATGTCTTTTGGCCTCACTAATGCTCCAGCCACTTTTTAGTCCCTAATGAACAAGGTGTTCTGACCGTATCTCAGGCAATTTGTGTTAGTGTTTTTTTATGATAGCTTGGTTTATAGCAGGTCAGCGGAGGAGCACTGGGAGCACTTGAGGAAGGTTTTAGAGGTGTTACAGGAGCACCAGCTGATGGGCAATCTGAAAAAATATTGTTTTGCATAGGCTAGTGTAGAGTAGTCGGGACATGTAGTTTCTAAGAAGTGTGTAGTGGCGGATCAGGCAAAATTGAAACTATGTTTAGATGGCCATTGCCCAGGAATCTAAGGGAGCTAAGGGGGTTCCTAGGGATGATGAGCTATTATAGGAGGTTCGTGAAGGGGTATAGCACCATTGTATGACCACTGACAAAACAGTTGAAGAAAGATGGATTCTTATGGGGGCAGATGATCACATCAGCTTTTGAGAGATTGAAGAAGGCCATGGCCACTGTGTCAGTCTTGGCCCTGGCATATTTCACTCAAGTCTTCATAGTAGAGGCAGATGCCTCGGGGTATGGATTGGGAGCAGCACTCATGTAGAGCCATCAACCCATCGCCTACTTCAGCCAGGTGTTGATAGCTTGGGTCAGGATGAAGTCAGTCTATGAGAGAGAATTGATGGTCACTATGTTAGCCATCCAGAAGTGGCAAACCTACTTATTAGGCAGACACTTCATTGTCGGGACGGACCAGCGGAGCCTGAAGTACTTATTGTAGCAAAGGATGACGACAGAGAAGCACCAGAGATGGCTGTCAAAGTTATTGGGATATGATTTTGAAATTCAGTATAAGCCAGGGATAAAGAACAAGACAGCATATGCCTTGTCCAAGGTGTATGGGGGAGTTATAAACGATAGCAGTTTCAGTACCACTTATGCTGGATTAGGAGGCCATTAAGGAGCAGAGTAGTCAGGTTATTCTTTAGAAGGTGAGAGACTCTTGTACCAGGGGAGATTTGTGACACCTAGGATACCAGTTCACATTGCGCACCTGCTCCAGGAGTTCCATAGGAGCTCTGTTGAGGGTCATTCAGGGGTGCAGCAGAATTACAAGAGACTCGGCTCAGAGTTGTACTAGAAGCGAGTGCGCAAGGATGTGGAGTTGGTAGCCATATGTGAAATTTGTTAGAGGAACAAGTACATGGTCATGCCTCTAGAAGGATTACTACAGTTCTGAGCTCTACCAGGTGTGAGAGGAGGTATCTATCAATTTCATAGATGGATTACCCCGATCGGAAGGGTTCACAGTGATTTTAGTGATAGAGAACAGACTGAGCAAGTATACTCATTTCATCCCCTATGACACCCCTACAAGGCAATAACAGTGGCATCATCTTTCATTAGGGAGGTGGTCAGATTGCATGGGATACTAGTAGGGCTGCAAACGAACCGAATCGAGCCGAGTATGTGAGTGTTCATGTTTGAGTTCGTTTATTATTAGCTTGTTCAAGTTCGGTTCATGTTTGATTCGAGCCTTATTGTTTGTCCAGCAATTGTGCACGCCTCGAGGCATTTTTTGCAAGAATTGCGCAGAGGCGCGCCTCTTATTGCGCAATTTTAAACAGAGTGTGAGTGTTCATGTTTGCGTTCGTTTATTATTAGCTTGTTCAAGTTCGGTTCATGTTTGATTCGAGCCTTATTTTTTGTGTTCATGTTTGGTTCGTTTAAATTAATGGTGTTCATGTTTGATTCATATTTGATTCATGTTCGGTTCATTTAGTGCATATCGAGCTTTAAACAAATAAGTCTTAATGAGCTATGCTCGTGAAGGAGATAGGGTCACTAACAGGAGGAACGAGAAGCTAGCCCTAAGATACTTTGGCCCTTACGAGATATTAGAGAAGATTGGAGCCGTGACATATCATTTGAGGTTGCCCCCCACCGCCACCATATATCCAATATTTCATGTATCAAAGTTGAGAAGATTTATAGGGGATCACACAGCGAGTTCAAAGCTTCTAGCAACATTGACTCAAGATTTGGATGTGGTATTGGAACCCCATGAGCTACAAGGGGTGCGCTAGGGAAAAGGAGGGGTAAATGAGGTGTTGATCAAGTGGAGAGACCTTCAAGATTATGATGTGAAATGAGAGCCTTACGAGAAAGTGCAACAACAATTCCTGCCTTTCCACCTTGAGGACAAGGTGGTTCTTTGGGAACGGGGGTATTGATACGCCTAGACCGGTCCAGCCAGCCCAGCCCTTGGGCCGGCTCAAAACCTACAGCGGGCAAAAGCCTGCTAATCCGTAGGCTCAAATTGCCACCCCTTTGGGGTGGGGTCCACGGCTTAAGGAAGAGAGAGAGGGGTTGTTTAGCCTTTTGTATTATTTTTATGTTTGCTTTAATTAGGAGTTAAATTAGAGTTCGGGTATCTTTTTGATGGCTAATGTTCTGAGTGTTTTAGTGTTCTTGGGCTCTAGCTGGAGAGTTTTGGGGAGAGTGATCCTCCTCTCGAATAGAGGATCATTTGTATCTTACTATTTTTCTTTCTTTCTCTAGCAATCAAGAGTGATTTTTTGTGTTTTCATCCAAAAAACCCTAATTTCTGTTAGATCTAATCGCTGAAATTCTGATTTCAATGATTAAATTCCTGTTTTCCCTGTTGATTCCTATCAAAGACATACTACAACTTCATAACATGGATCCATCCTTTGGCAATTTTTATAGGTCTTATTGTGGTGATATAACAATCATTTTCATGATTAGTTGTGTTTTGTTCATTATGCCAACTAAAACTACTGTATTATAGTGAAATATTTCTCATACCAACTCTATGAAAGCTTCATGAAATCAATAAATGTCAACTAAATTAGGGGGAAAATACACTTTCTAAACCTTCCAAAATTGAAACAGAACAAACACTTATTAAGTGATTCAAATTTTAAAATATTTACTCACTATAGCAACAATTCCTTCACATATCATATACATGTTAATATTAATTCTCCAAAGAGCTTCACATCACAGCTATTAATTCATCCATTCAATTTTGTTCAACATTTCAATAAATTATCATCATCATTAGCATTATCCCAACTACTTATTCATTGTAGTTGAGTGTTGCATGAGATGTTAAACCTATGCTACGCAAATCATTTTAAACAATTTCTATCAATGTTATCTTAGGTCTATCTTATTTTCATTCTAATCCTTAAATACTAATAGTATATGCTCAACTAATGGCATTTTCTTTAAAATATCTAAGTCTAATATCGAGTATCTTATCTTCACTACATTATACTCCCACGATCCATCTAATATAACCATTTTTCACTTTATCTTTCCTAATTTTTTCCAGACATCCAACTGCAAATTTCAGTGTGCACATGATTTCTTCTTCATTCACAAACCTTAATCTCAATTTCATCAAGTGGCCAATATGACTTACTAATATCCTCCATAAGCTGCAATATCTCATCTCCATGTCTTTCCCTACTTCATTCCCAGCATCCCATCAACCTTTAACCCATACTGCGGATCTCAACAATAAATGAACTCAGTAAGGTAGTTAAATTGAGAAGAGCAATAAATGATAAGAATAAGAAAATTGACAGTCCACCTTCAAAAGGAAATCCAAACATCAAAAGGATAACAATTGCATATTCATTGCTCAAATAAAAGATACTAAAAAAGAAATGTCAATTTTTTGGGCTACTAGTCCTAAGCTTGAAACCTTCCACAATTCTACATTTTCTTCAAGAAAGATGATTACCTGTAATGGCACCCAACCAATAAACTTTCCACCAGCATCTTGTTGTTGCGGAATATTTTGCTGCTGTTGAATATTTTGTTGTTGCAAGAAATTTTCTCCAGGAGGAGGTTGTGTCGTAAAAAACTGCGAAGTAACATGGTGTACCAAAAAAAAAAAAAAAATCAAAAGAATAACCTAAAACACATGTAATGCACCACCCAATAAATTATTACCACCCAGCTAATAAAAGAACATATGAAAAACATGCACTTTCTCTAGTATTCATCCAACAAATTTGCTATCATTCATGCAGAACCTAAAGAGTCGTGAATATCAAATTATCATCACAACAGTAAGAATTAGCACATCCAAAAACTTTACCTTTATAGTTCTTTCCCCAGATTGTCGGTTGTTCTTCTTCATCAAATATCTAAGAATTATGTCTCTCTTTTCATCAGACGAATATCTATACACTCTCACACCAAGCTCCCTCAAAAGCTTAGATTGTGCAGAAACAGATGTTGCAGGTGGCTGCCCACCATTTTTCATCTCTGATGCAGGTGCCTTTGTGGTCTCGGATGAAGCTGTGCTTTTCACTAAAGCCCTGCTCTCTATCTCAGCAGCGCAATCACCACCTACTGAACCTTTCACTGAAGGCCTGCTTTCAACATAAACGCCAAAGTCAGCATCTGCCATCCCAATCTTCTCAGCGGAGCTATCGATGTCAACCACCTCAACCACATCCCCATCGCCATCTTTCTTCTCCTCAAACTCGTCCAACAGCTTACTTCTCTTCTTGTAAGGCCCCCGCTTCCTCTTCCCAGTACTAGTCTCCAAATTCCGTCTCTGCAAAGGGTAGCTCCCTCTCCAGCACAAAAACCTCTGCATGATGAGAGCCCCCTTGCCCACCGACCTTCGGTTCGACCCCGTCCGTGCCCTGAACCCTATTTTTTCACCATAGCCATAGTAAAAGGCCTTGGCCTCCTCCACAGAGTCGAACACCATTCCAATGGTAAGTGCCACCTTAGTGCTTCCATCCCCGGAAGAGGCAGCATTGAGGGAGTGGTTATGCTCAGTCTCCAGCTTGGAAATCGACCATTTCCCGTTCTCCTTGAGAACCACTTCCATCATGGCCTTGCACCGGTCTCCCGACGGCGATTCAGCATCTCCACATCCGCCTTCCCCACCTTCTGCCGTCTGTTTCATATGGAGGTAACTGCGCACGATCTGGGCTACTCGTAGTGCTTGCTCGTCAGGAGGCTGGCCGACCAAAGCCTCCTCTGCCCGCGCTAGGGCCTCCTCATCCTTTACCTCCATTTCCACATCCTCTTCTACCTTTTCTTGATTGCTGGAAGGAACTTCAGATGGTTCAGATATGCGAAACATTTATATTGATTGTCGAAAGATAGAATCCGGAGAATGGAGAAACCGGAAATTGGGATTAGTTGGAAAGGAGAGAGGAACCCTAGGTTTTCTTCTAGAAATGAGAGGTAAACGGATCATACCATGCTTTCGATTTATCCTTTATCTCTCTCTCAATTTTGTTTTGCTGCCGAAGACGTTGGGCTGTGCAGGCTTGCCCGCATGTGATTGATCTGTGATGAAACCAGAACGGACAGCAAGCATCGCTGCGCCACTGCTGGACGATCAGAAGAACGAATCATAATAGCAATGCAGCGCTGCCAAGCCTCAACCAATAGGCCAAGGGGAGTTGTGTCTCCTCCTTTATCTCTCTCTCAATTTTTTTTTGCTGCCGAAGACGTTGGGCTGTGCAGGCTTGCCCGCATGTGATTGATCTGTGATGAAACCAGAACGGACAGCAAGCATCGCTGCGCCACTGCTGGACGATCAGAAGAACGAATCATAATAGCAATGCAGCGCTGCCAAGCCAATTCACTGCTGCCGCGTAAGCGTGTAAACTAGGGCTGTCCATGGCGGGTCGTGTTCGGGTCAGACCCGAATTTGACCCGCTGTAACTGACACAACTCGGACATGACCCGGAATTGGTTTCAGATCAATTCTGTAGACTCGAACTCGACTCGGATCGGGTTCGTGTCAACACGACCCGACATGGAAAGTTTTAAACTCAGTCCACAGCCACAATCACAGGCGCACAGCACACGGCTACAGCTAAAACTAAGATCAATTTAAAATTTTAAACTCAATCATAGTCACAACTACAACTACAAGAAATAACTTCAAGCCTTAAATATAGCTAAAAGCCTAAAATCAATTAAAAAATCAATTACATAAGGATGACAACGACGAAAATGAACAGAGCGACAAAGGGTTAAAGGGATTTCAGTTAAACTCAAATTTTGTTAATAATGTAATCAAACAGAAATAAAATCTTGAAAATCAGTAAAGAATAAAGGAAATAAGTGATAAATCAACTCTAGGATTTGATAATCACGATATCTTCATGGCATCTCCTAGGTTTTCTGCTTGAGAAATGAGAAACTCATAATAAAGAGAAAAAATCTTGCCATTTACCAAGCAATAATCCTATCAAAACAGTGTATCAAAAAGATCAAAAGGAAATTATGGTTCTCGATATATGACGACATGGGGAGATCACGAGACTTCAAGGGGAGAAGGAGACTTAAAATCAGAATTCATCACTTACGATTCTTGCGAAATCGATTAAACAACAACCGCTAAATCACAAAGAAGGAAGAGGAAAGGCAGAAAACTAGGGCACCTAGGCAAGGGCCTCCACTCTCCAGCTCCAGCACGCAGAGCGATTGAGCGAACTCGACGTTTCGAACTGAAATGACGGAATGGTATTAAGTATTAACCAAATCCCGCGGTTCAGTTTATTCGCCCAAATGGGCGAAGCGGCGAACTCGAGCGGACGAGTTAAATTTTACGGGTTGAAATCAGGTCATCTTTGGGTTTCCGGGTTGACCCGAACACGACCCGAAACTCAAATTGGGTCAGTTTCTCTAACCCGAACACGACCCGTTTGCTACCTGGGTTGACTCGAACACGAATTTTTTTGTGTCATTTCTAGGTCGTGATTCGAGTCGTGACAAATATTGACAGCCCTAGTGTAAACTGCCCTAACCGGCTTGATTAGCGTTAATCATGCAACAAGTTACTTAAAATTGTGCATTGATCCCTTCATGTTGATAATTACATTGGGAATGGTGATTGGTCTCAACCTACTAGGTTGTACTTCAATGTTGGTGAACTTATGGTTCAACTTTGGCTTCATTTGGGTTAACTTTCGTATTGATTTTTAAAACAGTTTTCAGCAAAAAAAAAATTAAAATTCAAAAAAAAATTGTACTAAAAAACTGTTTTAGAAAACATGAGGAAAGCCCTCCCAAACGAAGCCTTTGTGAAATTATAAAATAGAAAAGTGTTTTTTATGTAAATAAGCAAGCATTAACATAACAAATCCACATAAATTACTAGGCATCAGTCAAACAACTCATAATTAAATTGATATTTCTAAAAAGAATTAAAACTTTATAACAAGAGAAATCTTAAATCCTTAAGTTTATTTAAGTGGTAAAAAAAGGCATTGGGATAGAATTTGTCCTTAACATAGGAAAATTATTAAGATTTACTTCTCAAGTCTGAATTTTGAACAAGAAGGAATTGAAAAAGAAAATTCTCAAAAATGTTCATATCATGGGCTATTTAATCTATCCTAGAAAACAAAAAATGTATTGGTGGTTGTAAATGAATAAGAAAATTAATGAGTTTATAGCTCATTGTCTCATATATTAGTAAGTAAAAGCAGAACATCAAAAATCATATGAAACTCTTTAGTCTTTAATTATTCTAGAATGGAATTGAGAATATGGTAATATGGCTATGTTAGTATTATGATAAATATTACAATGCATTATGGATTATAATGGATTAATCAAATAGGTCTACTCACTTTTTGTTAAATTTTATTACTCGTCCTATAAAAAACCTTATAAAGATATATCTAGATACAAGCATATGGTTGTATAGCATTCCCAATTCCATTAGATCAAATAAAGATCATATGTTTGCTTTTAAAGTCAACTATTAGGACTAAACTAAATTTCAATTCATCTTATCACCCAAAAATTGATGGTTGGTCAAAGTGAGCTATTCAAACTATAAAAGGAATGCTTAAAGCATGTTTTATTGATTTAAAAAGCAAGGATAATCCCTTATTGGCTTATTGATAGGACAATTCGATTATAATATGAATTTTTACTATGTCTCCCTATGAAGTTTTATATGGAAGAAAACATAGGTCGCTATTATCTTGGGATGAACTTGGACAAAAAGATATTATTTGGGCCAAAGTTAGTGATGAAGCAACTCATAAATCTAGATTATTGGTGAAAGATTGTTGGCAACTCATAGCCTTCATAAGGCATATGTGAATCCTATATGATGAAATATTAAATATAATATTAGAGACACAATGTCTCTCAAAGAATCACCTAACTGGAAAGGAGTCCATCATTTTGGCATCAAAGATAAGTTAAAAAATAATATATGCCAAGTCATTTTAAATAAGTTTTGTAATGACTTGATTGTCTCCAAGCATGTTAAGGTGATATCCACTTTCCCATAAGTAGGTTCTCAACCCACAAATAAATAGATTGTATTAAAAACAATCATTTTTTAATCTTATTTGAACAAGTTATTCATCCTTGGTATAATAGGTCGCAAATTTGTTGGTCCAATCTCTCATCCCTATCAATTTTACTTTAGCTAGATGAAAGGGAACAAAACCTAAATCCAATCTTAAAAATGTTTCACCGCCAATTTGCCTTAGAAACCAAATGTCATAGTTCATAATTTTTTTTGTTTGAATGCCAACTTCATTTAATTTGCCTTTGGGTAAAATATGTCATGGTATGAAAACTTATTAAATCTATTTGGGAAATAAGAGCTACTTTGCTAATCACTATTAATGACACTAGTTGCCTATCTCATTCTAACAAGCATTTGTGATATAACCTACCATAGTTAACTCTCTTCATCACATACAAGAGTAGCAACTCTTTTTCCTCGAATCGGCAAGGAATCTATGTCATGACACAAATGAACTCTCCTATAGTTGCTAATAAAGGATTATATCAGACAACGTGTATTCAGCCTCCATGACTACCTAAGATGCCTAATTAACATATTTATCCCTAATTTAGATATTGGTTTTGAAAATATGGAAATATAGTCAGTTTGAATGTTTATACATGTATAAAGTTCTAAATAAACCTGATTTAAAGTGTACAAATGGAAGATTAATTTCAAAACAAGAGCCACATAGGTATAAACTCAACCCAGCTCCTCAAGATAAGTTGAATATGGCAACTCAACATTAGAAAAACTCCCAACATATTATCAACCGACTCTAAGGATATTCTAGTTAGGACATCCTCTATAGATCACCAACAAAAGCTATTATTTAGTATTCCAAGCCATCTGTAACTTGCACCTCCTTAAATTGTTATTAATGCCCTCAAGCATACTGCCATATTCTACAAAACAACCTCCTCGTTGGATGCCCCTGGATAACTCAAAAATCGTTAAGGATAACTTAATAATCTACTTTGAATAAATTTCTTATTAACTTTCCCAAGCCTAATGATCATGGGATCAATCAACTCGAGCATATAGAGACCAATCGATGTGGAGTGGAAGCTGAGAAATGGACTCAAAAGAATTTATAGCATTATCGAGTTGTTCTTAAGCTATAATGATTATTGCCAAAAGAAAATCGGATCGAGAAGAAGTTAACAAAGGGGTATCAAAAAGTTCTTAAGATTCATGTTGCATGAACCAAGATAAAGACAAGAACCAAAGTTTCAAATAGATGAGTTAGCTTCAAACTATAGAAAGGCATTACTAATGGGAAACAATGTGGTTATTTTAGCTCTATTAGTGGTTTAAGTTAATGTTGCTTGCTCTCTCTATCTCTTTATCATTTTTATGAAAGAGTTATCTACTATCATAGATAAGATTTGTCGTAACAATTCTTTTAAACATATATCTCATGATGATATGTTAATAAGTTTCCCTTTTTGCAAATGATTTATTAATTTTTGACAGTATTAAATATGCCTCCATGGATAGTATGTTTAATTCATGTTATAAGTTTAAAGGATTGACATGCCTTCAAATTCTTATGAGAAATATTATATTGTTTTCTCCTTATGGCTAATGTTAGAAATTTGGCTAATTCTATTAGCTTGAAATTGGGTAAATTCCCATTTTCCTACAAGGTACTGCTCATCATTGTTTGGAGAATGAAAATGAATAATTGACAACCTATCTTTGATAGATTGAATTCTTGGATTGTTGATTTAAAGAAGAAATTACTTTCTTTTATAGGTAAATTGTAGATTATCAAATCTTACTTTAAGCAACTATCTTACTTATTAGTTTAGACCTATAATTATTTCCAAAGTTACTGTAAAAATGGTTAACACATTGATTAATAGGTTTCTTTTTTATAATGGAGCTAGTAAGAATATCCATATATCATAAGAACGATTGAAATCAAATCAATACAGTAAAACCTATTCCATATCAGTCAATGAATCACATGCAGCAGTTCAATACGGTGTATCAATGAAGCGATAGTATCAATGAATCAATAGTATCCATGTCCATAGTATCAATAAGTCAATGCAATATCGATATCCATATCAGTATCAGTATCAGTATCAGTATCAATGCTTAGTGACATAATGCGAATATCAATGAAATCATACAGTAACAATAAATCCGTAAATCCGTCAATAAATTTCAATACAAATCTGTTGATATCAATAAATCAATGAATCCATAATGAGATCAATAGGTCAATACCGTACAGATGCAATTCAGTACAATAGTCTTACTGAACAAGTACAATCACTGGCTATTAAGGCATTTTTCGGTATCGATGTATCGTTGTGTCGTTATATCCGTTGGCTCAATAAGAGTCGTCATTCTATGCCCGTCGGCCGCCTGTCGGCATAATAATCTCCTTATGACTCCCAATCGTTGTATCAATGATCAATAGAGGATATCGCCAAACCCTTTTTAAAGGAAAGCCCGTCGGCCCACCATCATGTACAGGTCAAGTCAATCTCCAACCAACGGTTCTACAAGTCTTCACTTGTCTTTCAGTAATATAATAATAATTCAATCATATAATCACATTCGTATGCATATTCAATCATTCAAATCATCAATTCAGAAAATCAGAGGTCGTACGAGAAATCGGCGGCATAACGGCAGTATACAGAATTTATACAGAAATCATATATTCAGAAATTTACCAAATTACCACAAAACATATAAAACAACAATATAAGACTTCATTGTACTGAAGCAACATTTTTCAACATTCTGATAATTATCTATTCGATAAAAATCGCACATAACTCAAAATAACCGGTAGAAACTTTACAGAAAATACTAAAATCGTGTAGAAATATCATCTCAGGAACATATCAAAAATTGTGCGGTAAGACTTTCGTCTATACAAAATTATGCACGTTTTTCGGTAACGAAAACACAAATCTGAGCACAGAAATACCAAAACTCGAAATCTTCGAAAACAGAAATAGGATTCGGAGTCCTTACTGCGAGATAAACAAATCTTCCAACTGCGTCGTCGGACGAAAAGCGCTCCGCGAGCTCCAAAACCCAACTTTTCCTTCTCTTCCTTCTCTTTCTCTCTCCTGATTTATCTTTCTCTCTTCAAATGATTCCAAAATATCTCTATCGGATATTTATTAACACTGATCATCCCGGACGATTCAAAATTCGTCCCGGGATGATTTGCCCTTTGGCAGAATTTCGTTCAGACGAAATTAAATAACGTCCGGACGACTTGCTCTCTGGACAAATTTCGTCAAGACGGATTGTCCCGACCCTTCCAGGTTCGTACAGACGAAATTAACAGATTCTGCACAATTTTCTTCAGTTAGTCCCGTACTAAATCCAGTTCGTACGGACTAACTGCACTAAAAAAAAATCAACTTTGAAGGGGGTTTTACAGTTATTCAATCATGGTGGATTAAGGTCTTGTTTGGGACGGTTTTCTTGCTGCTTCTTAAAGCAGGTTTTTAGTATAAAAATTAAAATTTTTGAACTAAAAATTTATTTTGAGAAGAAGTAAAAAATTCATCCTAAACAAAATCTAAATGTTATGCCTTTTCTTTTAAGTCCACTTGCTTTGTAACTTCTTTCTTGAAAGACTACAAATCTTTTGTTGCTATGCTTGATTGTCATGTTATTCTAGTGAGAGTGGTAAGTTGAACTCTCTATATTTGATTGAATTTGTTTGGTAATTAAGTCAAGCTTATAATTATATTTTTTTAAGTCAATTCATATTTTCTATTTCGAGTTCAAACCGAACATAAATTTTTTTTTTCACTGAGTTTGAGCAAAATAGAGCTTTTATCAAGTCCAACTATTTATATTTTTTAAGCTAACTATTAATACATATAACATAATTATAAAACATAATTATATTTAAAGAGTTAATTAAAAATTTGCATAATTCATTAGGTTATATTTAAATTATTTGTTAAATTTTAAATAATAATGATAAAATATTTAAATCTATCCATCCACCCATACATATTCATCTAATAATATACATTATTTTTAAAATGAGTGAGTTAACATAAAACAAATTATCAAATTAAAAAGTAAACCAACATTAAATCAATATTTTATAATATTCTTAGGAAGCTACTTTTTAAATAAAAAAATGAGCATATTTAAAAACCAAAATGAACAATTTACTTAATATTCTAAATTGTTTATTTATGAGATAGTTTTCCTCTATTGGTATAGTGCGCCTATCCTGATCTATGTAAGAGTTCATATTTGTTTCAAAAGAAAATAAAAAATGAGATCGAACAACTTTTAACTCAAATTGAGCTTAACAAGTCCTGTCTGGCCGAAATCAAGATTGGATTGAGCAAAAAATGTAGCTAAACCTAACCCGACTGGAGATCAAATAGAATGTTCACGCAGATCCTGAGGCAGGTTCGGATCAGCTAGATATAAGCAGATTGTTCGCAACCCTAATTAATTGCTTAGCATCCCCTACCGTGACGACAAATTATTTTGTGCAGAGTCCGGACATCATCCAATGACCAATAAAAATGTGTCACATCATCTCAAAAATGTATCGCGCTCAGTACCAAACAGTACCGGACGGTTCTCCCATCCGGTGTCCGCACAGAATAATCTCTCCGAGGAGATTATTGTGTGCGGACACCGTACGGGAGAACCGTCCCATTCCGCGCTCGGTACTGAGCGCGGTGCATTTTTGGGAGCGATGTGGCGCATTTTTATTGGTCTCCGGGCAAATCCGAACCCGCACGTAATAATTTTTCCACCATCTAAGGCATGTTACGATTGAGCAACCCCTGAAAGGAAAGAAACAGATCTTTATTGTCTGCTCCAAAAATTTCTTCTGCCTTCTTCGAAGTTTCCTGCAGAAGTTCACCAAATTATTGAGAAAATGATATCAAAACCTTCATAACAGAACTACTTTCTCAATAAATGAATGATGGGAAGAAGAGAGCAGCACAAACCTCTCGTGACTGTCTCTGGGCATTTAGTTCTTTGATATTGGCTAAAAATGCTGCAAATTGCTCATAAGAGAGACGATTCCTGAATGTACATATAATGAGCTGAAAGATGCAAATGAATATATGATTCTGTTACAAGTATGGACGCCTGTACTCACTTGGCTTGGCGGAAGAACTCCTTGCCATCCACACGAGTGCGCCCTGAAAATTTGTAATTGCTACTACTCATTTGAAATAGCAAACTTAATAAAGATGTTTCACATTGCTAATGTAAATAGACATGATATATATAGTTTGAAAAGTATAGTGAATAGAAGTTTCTAGAAGCATGGCTGAGATTAGGAGTGTAAATGAGTTGAGTCGAGTCGAGTTTAGGCCCTTATCGAGCTCAGCTCGTTAGTTGGAAAGCGAGCTCGAGCTCGAGTGAAGTCAAGCTTGTCTCACTATAAACGAGCTCGAGCCGGCTAGCAGGTCATAGGCGGGAATTCTTAAATTTAGGCAGGATTTTTAAAACTTAGTCAAATTTTAGAAAAAAAAAATGAATAGTTTAATATTTAAATAAAACTTAGATGATTTTAATTAATTTTTTAAAATATTTAAATTTAATGAATAAAATAAAATTATTTTAAAAATATTAATATTTATTCGAGCCGTCTCATGAGCTCACAAGCCGAGCTAGCTCAAGCTCAAACTCAAGCTCAACTCATGAGCTCGATAAGCTCGGCTCACGAGCCCATAAACGAGTTGAGCTCGAGTGCGAGCCAGCTCGACTCACTTACACTCCTAGTTGAGAATCAGAACCTGGCAAAGAACGTCCCCGGGGAGGAGAATTGGCTGCAGATGATTGCTTGCTTGATGGGCACCATGGAGACATTGAAGTGTATCCTTCGGCTTGAGATTTTGAGGGAGAAGTTGCACCAGATGTCATTTTTGGTGATACTCCGGTCGAACACCTTTTTGGAGAACCGGCGTTTGATTTTACCTTTGGTGTGGTGCCGGGGGTGAGCCGAGGAGTGATGTAAGATGAGATGAACTTCTTTCCTGCATGCCATCCAATTGTGATTCTAACATTAAATACATATTTCTCAAAGTAAATCAGTGTTGTCGAATCATTAGTACCGTCTTGAGTTGTATTGTTCTTTTCTGTACTTGCGCTGGCTGGATATGGCGCAGTGAGGGCAGCAGAGACACCATCTTCCGAATCAAAAGCATGTCAAATGAAGAATGAGATGAATATAATCCAGAACCATGATAGGAAATACTTGAGTTCGCAAGCAAACTTAATAATCATTTGTAAAAACAACGAGAAAAATACAAGAACTTCGATGAAAACAATCTAAAACAGTTGATTGTATTATAGGAATCAAATCAAAGAAAGCACAAAGCAAAGATACAATTGGTTCTCAATTCGAGAGGAGGATTGTACTCTCCTTATCTCTAGACGATGAGTCTAGTGCCCAAGACACCAAAGAGAACTCCAAGAGAAACAATAATCAAGCATGCCCTAACCCTCACAACTCCTATTTAATACAATAATTTCCTGAAATTGATTCCTAATTCAAATTTCCCCCTCAAGGATATCCGCCCCCTTCTTTCACTGTTTAGCCCCCCCTTAGCCCCTACCCTCTTGATTTAATTAGTCCCTAGTGGACCCCCTTGTGATTGGCAGCAGGATTTGGAAGAAAGGAGGCAGCATTAGTCTGTCTCCTATAAACCTGAACCGGCCCTTGGGCCGGGCTAGTTCAGATTAAACCGGCCTAACAAACCACTTCAAGAAAGCTTGACGAATAATAAATGCATTTATGTTGCATCAAAGAGGAAAGTACCTTTACAAGTGGAAGCTTTAGTAATAGACTGATCACAGGTTCCTATATCCACAGTTTCCGTCTGCAGTCAAAATATATAAAAGCAAGGAGAATCAAGTATCAGCCTTCAATAGAATTCCTCATCTTTCCATGCATTAACACAAATGAATATATAATAGACAAATATATTAGAAAGTAGTTAATAAACGAAGCTTACAGAAGTATTATCATCATTCAGCGACTGCATCAGATGCCTTTTGAATGTCTCCATCTGTATTTTATGGCAAATATAGTTAAAAAAAGGTTAAAAGGAAAGATAAAGATTATTGTCCGTAGATTGGCGGATTTGAGGACAATTGTTTTCGACATAATCGAACAAAGGAGAGGAAAATTACTTAATAAAGGAGTAGCATGGATTTTAAGATGTGACCAGAACAATATAAATTTCAGTGGTCAACATCAATAATCATAAAACAAGGTTGCGCCATCCACCTAATAGTAGTAAGCGTAACGAAGACAACATAGAATTTTAATAGCAAAGGGAGGAGCTGTGTGGACAATAACAGTATAACAGCAGTAATAGGCATATGAGGGATAGAAACAGAGATGACTTCTGTGGCACTTATATTTCTTTGACATTTGGTGCAAAAGACATAAGACTAGACATTTTTTTTGCCAAAAATAAACTAGCATATAAAGTTAAGAAAAAATATGTAGAAAAATAGAAAAAATATATATTTTTTCAGTTTTATTGGTTGATCATGTATAAAACGTGAAAGTATAGATAAACTTATCTAAAAGTCTTACAATAAAAATAAATCAAAGCTATTTAAAAAAAAAAAATCCAAGAGGGGCTGACAACTAGAAGAGGAAGAAGAGGCATATAAATTATAATTTAAGGGCAATAAGAGGATTGATCAAATGATTAGAACATTTAATCCGTATTCTTAAGAATTTCTACCAAAATTGGTGGGGTTGTGGGTCGTACAATCAAGCCTCAAACTGAATGATATAAACCTATCATTCCCAATTTGCTTATATATTTTTCAAAGTGAGATTGCAGAGCCATTCATTGATAATGTATGCAAGTTAATTTCCTATAAGCATATATAAAATACAAATCAATTAACTTTTCAGTTTCTCTTTTATGAAATGTCTATCTACCATTACACTTTATTTGATAAGGATGCAAGATTTGTTAGTTATTTCTAAAAATCCTTGTGTAAACTATTTGAGATCCAATTAGAAATTTTAACTTCCATTCAGCTTCAAACAAATTTATAAACTAAAGATAAGATTCTGAGGTCAACAGGAGTTCAAGGTAGGTCCTCCAATGGTGAATTATCCTAGCAAGTGTCCTAAGTAGTTTTCAGAATCTTTTTTTTCATAACATACCATGAACAAGGTACCTATGTATAAATCACCCTCTCTTTACGTTGAGATCCTGAAGCTTAGTTTGAACCATCTATAGCAACTTTAGAACCAGTATCAGACCCAATTCTATAAACTGAAATTGAAAAAGCAAGATGCGATTCTTAAGCAGAAGCTAACACATAAAGGGAAAAGTTCCAGTAAGTCCACAACCTCAACAGGAGAGTTCAAAACTTTACAATAGAAAGACAATACCAGGACTAAGGACTACAAGTGAGCTGATTTCATATTTGCACCACAGATAGTGTTACCACAAAACCATGAGCATTATCAGATACACTGCTGAAGATAGGCTAATCTCTTCACGAAAATACCATTTGCTCATCAGGACCACAACTAATTCTGTCAAGTCTACAAGATAAACCCTACATGCAATCCAATGTACCATCTACAATAGACTGCAAGATTATAAAACAACGGAAGACAAGGGGAACGATGCACACCTTCGCCAAATCCCGACTCATCTTCTTCGAAGCCACTAGCAAAGAATCCCGCTCCTTCAACAACTTAATCTTCACAAAAAGAAATAAAAAATAGTAAACAAGTGGAGACTGATTCGACAAGCGAGGGAAATCAGTCCAAACTCCAAAGAGAAGGCGCATACATTCTCCTCAAGGGACGTCCTCAGGCGCGCATCCGTCTCTCGGAAAATAATCTCAAGCTCAGAGATCCGACTCTGGAGTTCGGAGATGACGCTGTCCTTGTCAGCAATTTTCTGGCGCATCCGACCGGCCTCAGACTCGAGCTTGGAGACGCGGGACGCGATGGCGAGCGAGGTTATCTTTCTAGCCAGATTCAGCTGTTCGTAGGGGTCCGTAGGGATCACGGAGAGTATCTCGTCCGGAAGCTGGAAGTCTGAAGTGGCGCCATTGTCAGCCATTCTCCGCCTCCGATCCGCCGGTTTGCCCTAACCCTAGTCTCCAAATATCCAGACAGAAATGGAAAAAGGTCAGTGGCGTAGAGAACGAAGTAGGAGAAGAGAAGTGAGTTTTTGAATCTGTTCTGTTTTAGAGGCTTTTGTTTCGCCCGCCCTCTCTCTCTCTCTCTCGTTTTCCTTTTTACCTATTTACCGAGCGAGATCGACAAAATAATTGAATACAGAGCCGTCGCGCTGGAGGGGAATTATGAATTATCTGTGGGACTGCAGAAATCAGAAAGCAGAACAGCTACAGACCGTTTGATTTTTTTTTTTGAATATATCTATTTTACAAAATTGATGAGATTGGCTAAAATTATTCATTTTATTAAAAATAAGAAAAATTTACATCATATCATTTTACAACATTCTATTTACATATCTAATATCTAAAATTTTAATATTACATACATACCATTCTATATTATTTTATTATCAAATATACCACTTATATTTCTTTCTTATTACTCATATATTTCATTTTTACTACTCTTATTTGATATGAAAATGAACTATGGGCGGTATGCAGTAGCGGAGCCAGAAATTTTATTCAGAGGGGCCTATTGTTTGTTGTCTCATTACTGGGGGATCTTCATTTGAAGGCAAGAGAGGAGCGAAAGATATTTAAATGAGTTTTACTCAACATTTTTTTTATTTCAACTAATTTAATTGAGTTTCAATTTCAGCTAAAATTTATCCGAGATTCTTTAAAATAAAATTTCCAATAAAAGTCGAAGATTTTTACTAAAACTTACACATATATATATTGAGATTTTTAATAAAATATAGAAAAAAATGAAATATATTGATTCTATAGCATAAATATGAATAAAAATATAGCTTAATGATATCAGAAATCAACGATCTTTAACTCGTTGGATTCGTCTCGTCAAGCCGCTCGATTCAACTATAAGCAAATAAATTTTGGAAACCGTTTGATCGTCCAAATTAAATTTTGAACTTTCCAAATGTGCTTCGGGTCCTTGATTTGGACTCATTTGGGCTCGGATTGAGTCGAATTTGGTGTTGTTGGGTTCATATTTTCAAGACGTTTAGTTCGACTATAAGTTTGTTGAAAGCGGAGTTCAGATGGTCTCCGATTTAATTTTTGAAGTTTCCAACTTGATTTTTTCTCAAGATTCATGCCCGATCAAGATAATTTTTTGATGATATATCAATAGATTAGTTTTGATTACGAAAAATAAATTAATCTAATTACTTCACTCTCTTAAATCGAGCATGTATATAAGAGAAAATAATAGATTTCTCACATATAAAAAATGTACATGTGATAATTTGCTCTTCCTTGTCTCCTTTGGTGGTACACATATAATTGAATTAGTATTAAGTGATATGTATGTAAATCTATCTAAAAATAATTGTATATCAAGGAAAATTTTAAATTCTAGATATAATTTAAATTTTGAGAATTTTGTTTCCACATATGAGTTATTGAGAACGAAATAATGTCAAAAGAGCCTTCAAATTCAATCAAATAGTTGATATGTAATTCCTAGTTATTGAATCCAATTGGGAATATTACATTTTTTAATTTATTTAGAATGTTAATTTAAGCTTTGTTCAATATAGTTTTCTATAACTGTTTTTTTACTATTTTTTTTTTAAAAAAAAGTATTAAAGAATTATGATAAACAGTAGTAAGAAAATTGTCATAAATGAAATGTTAATTAAATTCATATTCAATATAGAGGCATTGACAATAATATTTATTTTTATTTTATTTTATTTAGATTTTAATATGAAATAAATTTATTATCTTATAGATATTACAAATTTTTTAATTTTATTAAATAATATGCAAGTTAATTTATTTTACTATTTGCAAAAAATAGATTTTGATGAATTCTATTTTGAAAAGCTTAAAGTTAGCCAACAATAAAAGAAAGTTTGATGAAAGAACATGACATAAGCAGCTCATTTTAATCTATTGGTTGAGAACTTTGACTATCAACTTAGAGATCTTGAGTTCGAAATTTGCATATATGACGTGTATATGAGTCTACCCTAATTGCCCAAAATGTCAAACTTTTATTTGGTCCGATCACAAGACCTAGCTCTACGTTCAGCCGCCAATAGAATCGCGCCATGCGTTCTCACTATTTGCCGCGCGCCCCGACAACCCGACCCGGAACGGACCCAGGATGGCTTGATATTTCTCGATTTTGCTAGGTATTGCTTGGTATTGGTCGATTTTGCTCGGCAATAACCAATACCGAACAAATACCAAGTAATACCAAGCAATACCGAGTTGTACCGAGTTTTTCTAGAAAAACTCGGTACAACTCGATATTGCTCAGTATTGGTCTTCACAGAGCGATATTTCTCGTTATTGCCAAGCAATACCAAGCAATACTGAGCAAATACCGAGTAATACCTCACAATACACGAACATAGCATTCCTAAGTTCCGATTAGGGTCAAGTCATTGAGCCGCGCAGTAAAGAGTAAGAGCACGTGGCGACATGTTATTGGCGGCCAAATATAGCTCTACGTCCGGTCAGATGGCATAAAACTTATTCCAAAATGTCCCCCAAAAAAGGACTAGACTTGATAGTGTCAGATGGCATAAAACTTATTCCAAAATGTCCCCCAAAAAAGGACTAGACTTGATAGTGAATTATATTGAGCTAAACAAGCAAATATAAACATTTCATCAACTTTTTGTGCCATAAGTTTGCGATTTCATTTGGAATAACTTTAGGCTATAACTTTTTCATTAATTTCAATAACTTTTTTAACTAAAAAATTGTTGTAGAAAATAATAAGAAAAATGTTTCAAACAAAGTCATACAATACTTTTCAAAAAAGCTATAAATTTTGTAAATTGAACAAACATTAGAAAAATAACAGTTCATCTAATTTTAATTGTATTTTAAACTTATAGTTCATTAAAACATAAATAATTTAAATGTATACATAAAGCACCCCCACTACATACCTTAAACAAAATATAATCAGGAATAATAATAATAAACCAAAAAGAGTTAGACCGCTATCCACATCCAATTAGAAGTATAGAGATGTTTATCCTACCAGCTACGGCTGGTCACCCCCGGCCACTGCCGGCGGCCGATCACTGTCAGTCACCCTCCGGCCACTGTCAGGAACCTCCCGGCCACAACATTTTTCACGCCCCAGCCTCTCCGCAGTCTCTTTCTCTTTTTCGGATCGTAGAGGAGAGCCTTAACGAGTAGGTTCGAGATAAATTTTTAGAAGGCATATTAGATTTTAGATAAAACATTACGCAGGTCAGAGTAGAAATTTTCTTAAACTTGAAAGAAGTGCAAATATGATAGAGAAAGTAAAATCACACTAAAAAAAAAAAGTGTAACACTCTCAGGTTTCAAATTACATAAGGCAACAAGAAGAATCAGCCTGAATACTCCTCTTAATAAGTGCATCAGCACTTTTGAGTCCTCCAATGAAACATAGCCATCCAAGAGTAGAAAATCTTTCATTCTTATAAAAATCCTGTAAGAATGAATTAAAGGTGCCCCCATTTACAGAGATCCATTTCAAACAAGGGATACTTACATCAGAATTAATGAGAATCTGGAGTACGGTGTATGTATTGTTGAACCAAGATACCACAAGCATTTTCCTAGCATTAGAATCCCCAACGTATAAAAATTTTGCAATTTGTTTACAACAGAACTTAGGTAAAATAGCACCACAAATCCAATAGGCAATGATGTTCTAGATGATGAATCTTAAAAATTGAAGTCTCTAATAAACAAAATGTTGCAATTTGCACACATGAAGTTTCCATTCGAGCATATTTTTTAAAGAACTATAATATTTCAGCAGCAAGAATAACATTATCAATAGAGATTCTCTTATTTATGAAACTGGCATAAGCCGGGTTAATGATGAGAGGCATAATGTGTTTAAACCTAGAGGTCAGGATTTTAGAGATGATCTTTTATAAAGTGTTACACAATAAAATTGGCCTAAAATCAGATATTGAACCAGCATGTGTCGTTTTTAGGATGAGAGCAATGCCTATTGCTTTGATTCTTCTAGGTAAATATCCTTTCTCCAAAAAGGATGGAACAGCTTTCCAGAGAGAAGGCCCCAATATATTCCAACCAATTTTATAAAAATGGAAATTAAAACCATCTGATCCAAGAGAGGAGGAAGAGGCGCCCGAAAAAACAGCCGCTTTAACTTTAACAGTGGAGATGGGAGCAGAAAGCAAAGAAGAGAGATGATTAGGAATAACAGCACCTATAGGGAAACATGAGATGTCAGATAAGGGGGGAGGAGGATGATTGTACAGATTTTGAAAGTGTTGAGTGATAGCATCAATAGCATTAGTCCGATTGTCTAAATTTCCTTCCAAAGCAGAAAAAATGAAAGTCCCATTATAATTTTTCCTCATCCTGATCTTAGAGTTTAAGGAATTTGAGATCATTTTCTCAGGCAACCGGGAAAATTGCTCTGTATGATGTGACCGGGCAGGGCAGATTTTCGCTGCCAGACCTCTGTAGCCCTTGTTCTTCTTTTCTGTTGTATTTTTATCCAAGCTTTGATTATCTCTGTTTCATTTCTTTTACAAGATGTGAGCTTACTGATTTCACTTACAGATTTACATGTGACTTCCTTTATTTGATATGGAAATTGGGCCCGTCCCTTCGTCCCAAAAAACAAAAAAAAAGTAGAAAAATACAGAAGGTGAAATAGAATCCTGTGATGCAAACAGAACCAAACTCAATTTTTTGTTAAATATGTAATGGATATATTTTTCTTTTAGTAGGTTTCACGGACTCCAACTAAACCCTAAACAAAAAAAAAAAAAAGGGCTTACTTCAACCCTATTTCCGCACTTCAGCAAATAAATAAATAAAAGAAAAAAAAAAATCTGCTGAAACAAAAATTAAAGGCTTCCTCCAACTCCAATCATTATTTAAATTCTCTCTAGGCTTATGCTAAACTGCTAACACAACAATGTTCTATTTACATAGTTATGTAGATGTAAGTACCTCTCAAAATAACTGATTCACCAATAATACAATAATTTCAACATTACCCTCATACATCCAAAATTTATAATCAATATGGAAACATATATTTCCATGCCCCTGTCAAAAGTTCTAAAACATAACAAATTTAGGAATGGAGTCGTTGCCCCTGCCCAAAAAACATTTTAAAAAATAATAAAACTTATTATATCTCTTGTTTGGTTGGATTTAATTTAGAGACCAATATTATTTACAAACTTCGCATACCTCCTCAAAATAACATCATTTTAAGAAATCAAATAATCCATGATGGGAGAATGGTGATAAAATAGAAAACATTTGCATCAACAATTCAAAGGTTCGAAGTCGATACCCGCAGTTACATAGAAGACACTGCGAGCATGAGGGGAGAACGGCAGGAACTAAATTGTGTTGCTCCAAGTAGCGAGGACAATCAATCATTTCAAAAACATCTGCCAAATCAATTTTAGAAGCCATCAAACTAGAAATTTTCCTGAAGGAGTAAGAGAATCACTAATACATAAAAACAGAAAACGCAATAATACAAGGAAAGATGCTGTATTATCTTAAATCAGTTTTACGAATGAATTTTATTCACTAATATCAGTTTTACTAAGTGGTTAATAAAATGGTCTGATTCGAATACTTCTCAGCTGTCAAAAACTAAGGCTTCGTTTGGGACGGCTTTCTGAAATTAAAATTTTTGTTTTAATAAAAATTTTGTACTAAAAAGTTGCTTTAAGAAGCAGTAAGAAAGCCATCTCAAACGAGGCCTAAAGCTGACTTGAGACAATTAGATATGGAAATAGGTCTCCTCTTCTAATTGGATAATAACACATCAAGCCATTAAAGCCAGCATCTAATCGAACAGTTAAGGTGGCATTCAACAACTGGGGTGCGACGCAAATGACAGTAAAGGGAGAAGGCTGGTAAGCAATCATTGGTTCATTGCTACATTATACATTAAGGACTTTCCCCAATATATAGACAAAAGAGCAATCAAGCAAAACAACTACATGCCCACATTCAATTATTCAAAACATATTTAAATTCTAATCTGGAAAATTATACTTCTGTCCTTAACACCTGCTATGATTACAATTAAAAACATAAACATACTAAGATGGATAACTTAGCATAGGCTAAACAAATAATATGACAAATGTTCCTGCAACGGCTAGCTTTAAACGAGAACTACTCTGCATCTTCAAATGAATTTAAAGCTATTCACCGATAATTTCTCTGCTATACATCTTTCTTATAAAAAGTTATAGTGTAGGCTAAGCTTACCGACCATCAAAACGCAGAAAAGGGATTTTCATAGGCATACCGGCCCCAAAAGTTCATGCATTTTCCGGTATACAATTAAATTCTTTAAAATCATTAATATACCATGCAATCTTCTGACAGATGAAATTACCACTCAGCAACTAACTTTAACCATATATGAACAATTTACTTCAATCATTAACTATTAGTTAGACAAAGTGCTCATACCCTAATTACTAGTCTCTTTCATATTTTTCTGCGCACAAAGTCGTTCCATTCCCTTTTTCAACATTAGAAATGCAGTTTGAGGTTCTGTGAGCTACTTACTGCCTTGCCATATCAGATCATAGTCGTCATCTACAGGTCCTCATCAGAGATTCCCAACATCTCTAGGTCGTTGTTCTCATAGGTCATATACCCTCCCCTCATGCTAGGCCACCAGATGTTCTGTATGTGCTACCAAGCGCATTGTAGCAGAAGTTTTCTTAAACTTTTCTTTAATAGTCATGAAAATCTATGTCATAGCTTGCCCTTCAATTTTTTTGTGGGAAAAATGATCAAGGAATGAAAGCGTTTTAATTGCTTTTCTATGCATGATTTTGAGAGGGAATGAACACTGACAATCCTGAGGATGGTGGAAAACAAATCATTGCAGATCCAAAGGTCATGAATAACCACCTCTCTTTATGAACTACGTTGATCCAACAGAGGCTATTAGATGGATTACACACCACCAATATCCTTTCTAGATTTTCTCAGAATGAGAAGAGTCGCCCCATCACTACAGGAAGATCATATATAATGAGGTACATAAGTAACTATAATAACTTAGCAAGCTCTTGTGTCAGCTTTGGCGATCATGCAACTCAAAGATAATAATCAATAACTAAACAGATTATTAAAGGAAAAATATGGCAAGTCTAAGAGTTCAGAACCATCTTGGGAAACTTGTGCAGATGCCCAGAACAAAGCGCATATCATCATTGTTTAGTACACGATGCAAAAAAAGAAAAACTAGTGAGCAGATACACACTCCTAATGCATGAGAATTTAGACCGACCGCTCACTTACCAAATTCCTCTTTCGTAAAAGATTTGCAATAGAATTAATTACAATAATGAGATCAGAATTATAGTGCCTTGATGATAATTTACCTCTAGTTTTGAAGTGTAAATGCAATAGAATTTAATAATAATTAAAGCAAATAACTTTAAAACAAGAAAATTATTAATTTGACCAAATGACCAATGTTTTCATATCAAAATATACAAATTAGAAATATAGTTTTTTTATTTTAAGGAATCACATTCCTTACCTCATGAGGTAAAGGGTGAACACCCATGAGCATTGTTATCAAAAGTAAGTCAGCAATTTTGCCTAAATGCTTGAACGAGGCAAGACGAAGCTCTAGCGCCTCGAACACCTCCCTAGCAACATGGTCACAAAAGTGTCCCCTAGGTGAGCACCTTGGTGTAAAGCGCTAGGCGGTCGGGCATTCTCCTCTATGATGCTAAACTTTTTTTTTTTAAACACGCACTTCATGTTATGTGATGGACCGCTCTAGATTTAATTATGGTAAAAAGAGCATGGGTAATGAATAATAAAAAAATAGATAGTTGCAAATATTTTTTTTAATATATTTTTTAAAGATATAGACATATCCCATATATTTTATTTAATGTAAGATAAGCACAAAGCCAATTATAGATTTTAAACCCATGTTAAAAGCTAAACAATTACTTCACATAGCATAACCAGCTCTCAAACCAAAGACCTATACCTTAAAAACCGAGTATAATATTCGGGTCAAGGCTCTTTGGTATAAAGATTATATTGCCTTCCGCTATGGAAGTTGTCATCTTAGGTTGTTATTTGCATATTTAAGCTTGAAAATAACTTTTGGGTTGTGAACACTTTGTTTAGACAACCTAATTGACAAGATTTTGTCATTTTAGTGATTGAAATTTATTTTTTCCTATTACTTATTAGCATTTTATTGTGACAATAATCATATTATATTCTCCAAAAATATTCCTCATAATTAAAATAGAAGATGCTTCACTTCACTCATGCGAAGTGCCCAGCACTTCGAGCATTAGACAACCATATCACATAATGCCTTTGATATCACTACTACTAAGCTATTTACTCAATGGTAATTAAAAAGATAATAAATGTCCTTCATTCAAAAAATATATTAATTATTCAAAAGTTGCTTAATGAAGCTATTCTAGCATTTGATTAAGAGAAGATAAATTAATCCTACATATGGCGCGCATAAGTTAATCCCACATATGGTGAGTATCTTGTCATGATAGCTACTAGAACAAAGTTGGACTAACGCCAAAAAAACATAAATTGACCTCTGCTATCAGAAAATACAATGCAAGATTACATTTCTATTGATATATTTTTTGCATTTCTATCAAATAACATCATTTCATTAATACCATTAATAATGTGAAAATAAGTATCTTTAATGACAAACTTTACTCAATACTTCAGCAGTGTATACCCGCACGTTTCTTGACACAATAGGATGATTTTGAAAAAAATATCACAAAAGGTCTTTTTTTATAATAAAATTTTAAAACTCTTTTCACTGTAATGTCTCAGTATATAAAAATACCAAAGATAAAACAAGAAAAAACCTTGTAATATAATGATCAAATTTTACCCATAACTACAATATTATATTTACAAAAATCTAGTTTTGTCCATCCCAAATTTACGTTTTAATTTAATTATTTATCAAGCTTATGCCAACTTTAATATTTATTCAAATGAGCAAACTTGATATAGCCTTCATCATTCTTCAAGCACCAAGTGACAGCTTTCACTATGTTTGCATGAGAGATATTTGATAGAAGAAAACTGACAACAAACTAATTGAAATGTGATACAATTAAGGTGGCGTGTATTGCTTAAATTCCTTTTTAAGTTTCCTATATTGGGAGGGAAAAAATCAATTCATTCTATAAACCTAAAAGATTTAATCCATTTAAACTAGCAACGTGCCATATTTGATAACAGCTTTTAATGATCAAGATGAGTAGCCTTTTCAAATATCTGCTTAATTAGAAGGTCACAAGGTCCATTACAAATCACATTAATTTTACATAAAGAACTAGTGAATACTTAGTCTAAAGATTACATGTTGGACTCGAACTTATGATCTCTATCCCAATAACAAAAGAGTATACTATTTATGCTTATCTCTCTTTCTCTTTCATCAAAATTGCTCTCCCTAAATAGGAGTTAAAGGTTAGCGTGCAAGAAGATTTTGAGCCAATATTTTATCCCTTTGCAGCATATTTAGTTGAAAAAGTAGCAATTCAGACTGCTGATAAGATACAGATCTAAATGTATGGCCAAAAAAATCAGATTCGTGCACGACATTCTCAATTGAAACAATAAACTAAGATCAATCACACAACCTTAAACAGTGCCTATTAATAATTAGATCAGATTGGATTAACAACATAAATGCTACGCAAAGAGGGAGAAAGGAAATCTTTGAATTTGAACTGTCCAAATAAGAGCATGTATGGAGCCTTTGTACTGCTGACTGAATAGTGTATTTCATCATTTTTTTTTTTAACACTAGAAAATGTGATCAACAATCTGATGAAGAGTTGAGTTCTTCCAAAGCATGTAGAAACAAGTGCAGATAACTTGCAAACTAGTCATAATGAAACTTCAACCAACATGGTTTCTATCTGCATAAGATCAAAATGCAATGCCAGGCACAAATTGCAGTAACTTAGGCGTGTATTAGCCACATGAAATGGGGAGGATGCATGTGTTGGAGTTTGGCTTGAGTCGGGGTTGGTTGCTAGTTGGGCTGCTAACTCATCCAGAAACTATGGTGAAGGCAAATCCATTGTTTTAGAAGTACGCAACAAGTGAAGCCTCGGTTGAAAAATACAATCAGCTGAGATTTTCTCATTATTAAAATTATTATTTTTTATTTTATTTTTATTTATTGTTCTCATCTATTAACTATATAGGCAAATTATGCCTGTACCAAAAAGTTAATCCAATAAAATAGTCAATGTGCAATCCTCTTCTAGCATAGTATCAAAGACAACCTAGAATCTTTTCAATGCTACTGTACTCATCAAACTTCCAATCTCTTTTGATCTTCTCTCTCACTTCCCTCTAAAGCTTGTTGGTGGTTTATAGACTTCTTCTTTCGTGAGATACTCATATCTGTAATCAACTACTAAGGCACTATGCCCCTTCTCGATTTCACACATATCTGTACACCGCTACGATCTACTACTATTATCTAGCAAAGACTGCACTAGTGGCTTTTTTGTCCTTACTATGCCGACCTCCCTATCAACTCCTTTTATTAATACTCTTCGTCAAAATTCTTTGTTGATACCTCTGTCAATGCTCTCTATAAATACCAAGTTAGAGGACCTTATTCTTGACTTCTCAAACACGAATCTTGTAGCCAGCTCTTTGCATCCAATTCACACACTCTCTCTATTTCACAGATCAATCACGCGCTCCTTTGGAGACCCTAGCAACTTCTAGGCAACAAAGTCTTTGACTACTTAATCTCTAGTCACTGTTATTTTCAAACTCAATTTGACATCTTCTGTGTCACTACAAGTTTGCAGGGGAGTGTTACAATATTAAATTATCACATGTATAACTTATTTATAGAAGTAATCTTAACTATTTATAATTGAAATATTTACTCATGATTAACAATATTCTACAATATTATTTTTTTTCTTGCCCGTACATGCTTTTTACAATTGTACCAAAAAAAATAATTCAGTAAAAATATGATGTTTTATAATTCTCTCTCCCTTGAAACAGTAACCATGTAGACCAGCTTCCTTGCACTCAAAGTGTCGTATCAAATCACTTCACAAGAGATTTAAAAAAGCAACCAAGAGATAGAACAACTTAAACCAAGAAGAATAAAATGTTTATTGATTTTAACAATTATGCATAACAGTGTAGGATAATCATCCACCCAAGATAAGGTTATAAAAAATAAATTCAAGGACTTGGGCATATACAATAGAGAGGAGACAAAACACTAAGTCATATACAATAGAGAGGAGACAAACCACTAAATCATATACAATTGAGAGGAGACAAACCGCTACGTCAAAAATTACAGCTGAATTGGGTATGATGACTAACAAGCAAATGCATTAGAATTCACTTTTCTAGATAACCATCTTTATTGAAACACTTTACTAGCATCTCAATTGCCCAAGAGTTTTGTGGGTTAACAGTAGCTAACTGATTTATAATTACTATTTCAACTAAAGTTATTATACAAACAAAAAAAGACAGTGCTTCTTTTGAATGTTCTATTTCCAACAGCTGCATAAATAGAGATAACGGCCACTTACCAGGATCATTCAAAAATCAACTCAAGCACCTTTTTTTCTTGCAACTCTAACTTGGAGAATGAGATGTACATCCCTCTTGAATATCGACCGCAAATCTTCATTAGCTTCTATGCCTATTCTCCTGTTTATTTAACCATAAAAAAATATAAAATATTTACATCTTAGCCGCAAGTATGAAGTAAAAATAATATACACCAGTATAGTGGAGAAGAAATAGATTTTTGATAGGCATAATGGCATATAATCAGAAAGAAGGCATATATTACACATTCAAAGCACTATACTACAAAAATTAAATAATAGATAAGAACTGTGATGGTTACGGTACAAAGATTTTATCCTCAGGCAAGAATCGACAGAAAACCAAACAGAAAGTTGCATATCTTTATCAAAATTATTCAACCCTAATATCATTGAACATTGCAAAGAAAAGTAGAAAGAATCACCCAATTTTAGAGCCATTTTTTCCAACAAGAATTTGTCGCTGGCTTTTCTTTGGGGTGATGAAGTGTTGCTCCACCCTGAGAGAACCATCTCTTAACTCTTTCCAGTCCATCAAGCGATGTTCAATAACATAAGGAATTTCCTGAATAGAGGCATCTCACATTATGATAGCTTTTCAAAGAGAGCATCTAGGTTTACAGTATAACTTGATGCTACCTGATGAATATGATCCAACATTTTTTCTCTAACAACCTCCAAAGATATGGTTTTCATAATCTCTTCAGTCATTATGCTGGGTTCTTCATCCCATGGTCTTTTAACTGCCTACCAGATTGCAAGAAGCGAAGACAAAAAAAAATGAAAAATAACATGTGATTCTTGTAATGACATAAACCCAAGATAAGACTTGAATAATCAGAATAAGTTAATATAATCTGTTAAAGAGGTAAAATTTTAAGAAATAATTAGCACCACGTTATTTTTCCAAACCCTTCAGCTATAGCTTTCATAGAGATTATTTAACATATTATAAAATAATCAAACAAAAGACAACAAAAAATAGGTAAATTAGAAAAACCTATCTACCATGATGACTTGATATGTTTATTTGCCTCAAGACAATAAACAATAAAAAACTTTTCTATGTGCATTTACTCAGAACTGAATTATAGTGAATATTGACTAACATAACCATTCATCTACAAAACGAGCATATACAAAATGAGCATATATGTGAAAAGGTTGGAATAGCTTCAGTGGAAGTTAAGATTAGAGAGAGTTTCCTTAGATAGTTTGGTCACATAAAACGGCCTTCCGATGACCTGGTTAGGAAAGTAGATGTATTAGATTTAACTTATGTTAAGAAAGGTAGAGGTAGACCTAAAAAGACTTTGTTATAAAATATTAGAAATGATCTTTTATTTATAGATTTAAATGAGAATTTAACTCTTAACAGGATACAATGGAGAAAAATGATTCATGTCACCGACCCCACAGTGGGATAAAGGCTTGATGTTGTTGTTGTTATATCAACCTTAAAAATGTCCGCCAAATGCATTCAATAGGCATTAAAACTTAGGAAACCATAGTAACAAAGATACACCAAAAAATACTCTTTCAACCCAAAAAATATCCACCAAGAAAAAGCTAATCTTCATAGGAGTTATTAAGATCAAATGCATGGTTGCTTCACTCATCATCAAAGGCCAATTCTACTTTTGAATATCTTCATGCTCTCTGCAACTTTGAAACACCCCTAAAAGGTACCATCCATATCAAAGCGTATCCTACCTAAGAAGGTTGGTACGTCTCATGTCATGAAAACAAAAATGTGCTTAGCCAAGATATAACACTTATTCCAAAGACTATTAGTTGGAATTTTAAGGCCCTCAAGATCAACCTCACTAGGAATCTTATTTTGAAGCAGCTTCTACATTTTATATTTCTGTGAAAGTTGTAATCAAGGCTTTCATCTTTCCAACAGTTTTGCATTCATATTTGATGCAAGCAAAAATTTGAAAAAACCCCAAATTTTTGCAAGCAAAAACAAAAGTTTCCTAGGTAATAGAAAAATACACAAAGATCACAAAAACTAGAAAAAGTAGACAAATTTCAACTTCTATAAAATAAAAACGAATCTTACAAACTTTGACGCTTACAAACGCAAACATAAACAACACCTAAAGTTGCTTGCCAATCGTCGAGAAGAAGGATACAAGTGGCGTCGGACTTGTGGATAGAAGAAGTTGATTAGAAGCTGAGACGAAATGGAGGAGAAGCTTGCAAGCTTTCTAGACGAAGAAGAAGAGGTTGAACAAGCTCTCAAGCTTTTCCAAGAAAACCATCAGTTTTTCTATTCCAAAAATTAGCATACATAACTCATTTTAACATTACAAAACATCACCTATTTATAGGACCAAAGATGGTAGCCAAACAGCCACTTACAAACCCCCATTTAAACCAATTAAAAACATGAAATGAAAGGTCAACCAACTGTCCAAAAATAGCCCAGAATCAGCCACTTAAAGGCCTGAAATAATCCCAAAACAATTCCCAAAATCTGCACAGAAAACAGGAAGGAAAGCCACGGGAAACACAACCAGGGAGCCACAGGAAAGCAGCCAGAGAAGGACCCGAGGAGCCAACACAGGAAACGACACAGAGGGAATGATGGGAAAGCAGCCAGGGAGAAAACTGAAAAGGCAACCAGCACACATCCTTTATTCACAAGGAAGAAACCAAGAAGAGGAAGAGATAAAGGAAACCAAGGGAAGAAACTAATGAGACACAAGAAGGGGAAGAGATAAAGGCAACCAAGAGAAGGGAATGAATCTAATTAATTCCTACAATTTATGAACTTAAGACACTCTACTAGATATTAATGAGCTGACATCTAGTAAAGGAAATTAAAGTTCACCAAAAATAAAACCCAACTTGTTTTGACCCCCCCTGCCTACATCAATATTCAATATTGATCTTCATGAAAAATTGTATTTAAAAAAGAAATGAAGCCACATTGATAAATATCTTGTCTGATGACAGAAAATTCTAGCAGTATTTTCTCTCTCCTTACAAATATTGATGGTAAAGAGAAACTTATTGATTTCAATCTAATCATAGCACAGTCTTTCATGAGCGCTAGACAATACTTGACCAACTGAACATAGTAAAACATTACTTCGCCAGCTCTAAGAACTAAATGGAAAACAAGAGTCAACAGATGTCTTTCAGGTTATATTAGCATTAGGATTGATGGGTAGGATCACCAATTCAATTGCAATATGCAATAACATAATACAACAAACAATGAAAAGCCCAAAAACTTGACTTAACATGGCACCTGGTCCATCAAATGCTGAACAAGATCTTTCACACCAGATCCCTTGAGTCCAGATATCATGAAGTATCTGCATGAGCCAAGAACAATAAATAAATATGAAAAGGCTATATGATTTACATCTATTACATGAAACAAAGAATGACCTTTCATAGCCAGGAAGATCCTCAAACTCTTTCGCAACCTTTAACAGGTCCTTCTTATCCTCTACAAGATCCACCTTGTTCATACATAAAACTCGCTTTTGTTTATGGTGTGCATTAGCTCCAAGATTTTTAATTAAGTTTATCACCCTCGTATCTGATCTGCAAAAAAGGCCATAAAATTCATTATGTTTTCTTCCTATCAACTATTATCATAATTCTGAGTTTCCATTGCCTTCCACGAGAAGGTTTGCTTGGTTATCATAACAAACGTAATCATTCAGGTTTCCAAATTATCCTGCAGGTTTTAAATTTTATCGCAAAATCAGAACAAGACAATCACACAAATGCATGCACCAAAAAGATCTCATAAAAAAAATGCTGCTGCCATGAAAAGTAGGTTTGAAGCAGGAAAATTGAAGTCATTATACAAATTTATTGATGTAGAACTATATGTGTAAGTGGAGATTTGCACAAAAGGATTTCAAGAGCAACTTTAGATTCTCGTTAAAGTGATTAAAACAACAATACAAAACAATTAAGTAGTTATTTCGCTTTGGCTAAGATGTCCCCATCATTTATATTTTGGAGTCAGGCACCTGCTTTTACACAATACATACCTTGAAATAAGACAAATCTGAACAGTGCTCTACATGAAGAGCTGCCAACAATTTTGCAAAAAAGAAGCCTTGCATTGAAACTTAAGATTTGATTTCTCGTAACATTTAAAACCTTTAAAAATATTTATACAACATTACTAGCACAAGTAATTCTGACAGTCCCTTCTTGATCTTCGATAACTTGTTTTGCCAATTTGCCTGTGTAAAAATCCATACCTATGCCATATCCGTCCTCATCCTCAATATTTCTATATTTATCTGACCTTACTTAAATAAGATGCCTTTTATTTCATATAGCATGTGAAATTTTACATTATCATTTCACAATACTTAAAATGATTCTGAAGGAAAATGTTTAAGGTGTCATACATTCGTTATCTAATGATAGTTGTTTTGGCATTCAACATTAAATGAAAATTCGTTAAAAGCGAAAATGAGTTGTATACATATCTCAAAAAATCTAAAATAGAAAACCTAATCCATCATAATGTACGTTCCAACATTAGTTATTTAATAAGCAAGTAATTGAAAACCTTTTGATTCACTTTTGCACATGGTTCACTAGGATTATGTAATGAGAATCTCTTTCATTTAACAAACATTAATAACATTTAATATATTTGGACACTTAAGAAGAAATCTTTGTGTTTCTTATATTTAAATAATTGACTGCTTCAAAATCCCAAGCATGTATTGCTCACTATTAAATTATAATTTGAGAAATATCTTGGATGCCTCTAACACTTCCCTCTAATATTACCTACAGTGGCCGGAGGCCTCTACAGATTGCCTGTTTTGAAGTAGGCCTGCCACATACGAGTTCAAGGTTTTGAGCTATGGCACAAACAACTCTTTAATTAGTTGACAACATGTGGAGAAACACAATTATTTCCCTGAAGCGTATAATTGTATTGGGGATCTTCTCATACCCAACCTCTTTTAACAAAAAGTTTTGAGGGTTTTCAAATTGCTGGAATTATGTATGGAAACCTCAGAACCATAGCTTATCATTAACTAAGTGTATGCCTTTCCAAGCTTCCATCGAAGCAAAAGCCTTGAAGAAGAGCAAACTCCTAATATGCATATAACAAAGGATATGACTATCAGTGTCACCGCTAGATGCGTCACAAATCATCAACATACCTTCAGTAGTTCCCATGGCTCCCCTCTTCTTCTAGCCTCCCATGAGCAACAATGCCCTAAATTGCTCATGATGACTCTGGCGAGGTAAGATGTGCAGTAACAGATTCCAAATGTTAGCTCATCTCAACCCTCCTCATAAAAAGCGCAAGTAAAACACATATTCTTTCTTAAAAATTATTGAATGTCCAAATTATACCACATTTTCGGGCAAAAAACATTTAAAGCTGAGAGAGCAGCCTAAAATTTAATTTTCCTTGCATCACAAAGGCATGAAAGACAATTTGCATTAGCTTGATGCAATTTAGGCAGCTCAAGCTCTCATCGTTTACAGCTGTACAAGACTTAGCCATGACAACCTCCTGTGGCAAACGAAATCAGATTTAAGATTTATTTTTGTTTATTAAAAATTTTAAATTTATTTCAATTTGAAATTAGAATAAATTATTTTTTTCATTAATATTTGACTTAAATTTTAAGTTTAATAGGTTTGGCTACAATTATTTATGATTGAATTCAGTTAGATTTGATCTACGATTGTCTATGTTGCACCGATACGGATACAGCAACACGGATACGACACGATACGGATACGGGACACGTCAATTCTTAAAAATACAGGATACGGCTACGGCGCGGACACGACATTATAATTTATAAATCATACATAAAAATTAAGAAA